GCTACTTTCTATCTGCTGACGTGCCTATTCTGGACATGTGCTGTAAATGGAGTAAGACGAGACACAATGTTTTATTTGTGTCCCTCAGCATGTTTTTCAAGGCTCATCTATGTTGTGGCATGTAGCAGCACTTCATTCCTTTTTACAGTCTAATAATATTCTATTGCAGGGATATACCACATTTTGCTTGTTTCTGCTTTTTTGACTATTATAAACAAAGCTGCTGTGAACATTTGTGTATGATATTTTTGGTTCTCAGTTCTTTGGGTTATATACTTAGGAAGTCTTTTTTCCCCTACTAAACAGCTATTGGAAACATCTATCTATCTCCGTCTCGAAGTTACTGACAGCTGTCCCCTGGACTAAACCAACAGCCTCCTCCACCTGGCCCAGTGATCCCTTGCCAGCAGGAGTCTGAACATGTTACCCCACTCTGCTTAAAATCCTTCCTTGACATCCCTGAGGCCTGGGGCCTTCCACCAACCCAGGCACTCTTTCCATGCCTGAGTGTCCCTGCCCCCATGGCCCTGCACAGGGGCCCTCCCTCTCTGGTGTACACCTGCTCCTCCCTTCCTGGCCTCTCTGGCCAATGTGGGCTCTTCCAGCACCCTTCTGTCACAGCTCCAGTTTCACATCTGTGTGTGACTCCCTAGTCACTGTCCATCTGATTGTTCAGTGGTGACAGCACCTACGGTCTGCTTGCTTACCAGCGTGCCCTCACTGCTGGCAGTTGCTGGCACAGGTGCTATCTCAATAAGCATCTGTGGAACATACAAATGCACACGTGAATACAGAATGGGATGGATGTGGCGGCCCTAGAGGTGTCAGGTCATTTTTCAGTAAATAAGCACTCCAGGGCTGCTAGGTAGCAAAAAAAAAAGGCATGCTCATCCTCAACAGTCAGACCTGGCCTCAGCCACACGGTTTTATACAATATACTTATGGAAAAAGGCATTCGCTGCACTGATATTGCTGAAATCAAAATACAAAATCATGTGGCACAGAGAACCAGAGAGGTTATGTCCTTCTGTTAAACCCAACTCTGCTGAATTCATTTCAGCAAAACAGTGCTGGCTCATTAATGTTCATTTGCAGTTTTCTGATTTAGTAGGTTTTTGTGGGTTTTTTTGAGTCAGGGTCTTACTCTGACACCCAGGCTGGAGTACAATGGCACCATCACAACTCAGCACAGCCTTGACCTCCTGGGCTCAGGCAGTTCTTCCACCTTGGCCTCCTGAGTAGCTGGGACTATAGGCATGCACCACCATGCTTGGTTTGTTTTTTTGATTTTTTTTGTAGAGATGAGGTGTCATTATGTTGCCCAGGCTGGTCTTGAACTCGTGGGCTCAAGTAATCCTCCAGCCTCAGCCTCTTAAAGTGGTGAGATTATAGGCATGAGCCACCACGTTGAAACAACTGATTTTGTAGCTTTATTTATTTATGTATTTATTTTTGTTTTTTGTGTCAGAGTCTTACTCTGTTGTCCAGGCTAGAGTGCAGTGGCATGCTCATGGCCACCACAGCATCTACCTGCTGGGCTCGGGTGATCCTTCCACCTCAGCCTTCCAAGTAGCTGGAACCACAGACATATGCTGCCATGCCCAGCTGATTTTTTGATTTATTGTAGAGACAAGGTCTCGCCATGTTACTCAGGCTGGTCTCAAACCCCTTGCCTCTGTCTCCCAAAGTGCTGGGATTATAGGTGTGAGCCACTCCAGGTGTTCAGGGCAATACTTTTCTTTTAGAAACCAGGTTGGCTGAGCTCGGTGGCTCAGCCTGTAATTCCAGCACTTTGGGAGGCCATGGTGAGTGGATTGCCTGAGCCCGCGGGTTCGAGACCAGCCTGGGCAATCTGGCAAAACCTCATCTTTACAATTAAAAAAAAAAATTAGCCAGGCGTGGTACCGCACGTCTGTAGTTCCGGCTACTTGGAAGCCTGAGACAGAAGGATCGCCGGAGCCCAGCAGGTCAAGGCTGGGGTGGCCATGAGTATGCGTCACTGCTCTCCAGCCTGGGCAACAGAATGAGACTCCAACTCAAAAAAAAAAAAAAGAAAAGAAAAGAAACAAGGTTGATACATGACTTATGTTGAGTAACACTGAGGTATTTGGTAGGAGTTAGATCACATGACCTCTTAGATCTCTCCAACTAAGGTTCCATCTTGTGTTACAAACCTGCAAGAAACTGAGGCATGAGATGTTGAAGCTCTCTGAAGCTCTACACAAGGAATTCAGGAGTAGTCGAAGGAGAAGGCAAAGCATTGTTACACCAGACCAGACCAGGTACTATCCACCAACAAAACTTCCCTAAGCAACATTCCCCAAAGTAAACTGGATAGAATTCTTTTTTAGCATCTCAAAAATCTCCAAGAACTGTAAAATAAAACAAAATGACTCCCAACATTAAATGAAACAAAACACAAGAGAGCTTCTGCTAGGCCTAGTTTGGTTAAATATAAAAAGTGAATTCTCACAACAAAAAAAATGATAAGTATGTGAGGTAATATATATGTTAATTAGTTTGATTTAGTCATTCCACAATGTACATATTTCAAAATATGTTGTACCCCATAAGTATATACAATCTTTTTTTATTCGGAGTCTCACTCTGTCACCCAGGTTGGAGTGCAGTGGCATGCTCACAGTCACTGCACTTCAGCCTCACCCTTCCAAGCAGCTGCAACTATAGGCACGCACTAGCATACCTGAGTAATTTTTTGATTTATTGTAGAGACAAGGTCTCATCAAGTCATCCAGGCTGGTCCCAACCCTTGGACTCAGTCAATCCTCTTGCCTCTGCTCCCCAAAGTACTGGGATTACAGGTGTAAGCCACTGCACCCAGCTAGTATATACAATTTTTATTTGTCAATTTTTAAAGTCAGGGCTGGGTGTGGTGGCTATAATCCCACAACTATGGGAGGTCGAGGCCTCACTTGAGGCCAGTTTGAGACAAGCCCGGGCAACATAGAGTGAGACCCCATCTCTAACAAAAACAAAGAATAGCCAAATGTGGAGGTGCATGCCTATAGGCACAGTACTTTGGGAGGCCAAGGCAGGAGGACTGCTTGAGTCGAGGAGTTTGAGACCAAGTCTAAGCACACAGTGAGACCCCATTTCTAAAAAAACTTAAAAATTAGCCAGGCATGGTGGTGTGAGAAGCTGAGGTGGGAAGATGGCCTGAGCCCAGGAGTTTGAGGCTGCAGTAAGCTATAACTGCACCACTGCACTCCAGGATAGGTGATGGAGAGAGACTCTGTCTCTACAATAAAAAATCAAGTCAAATGACTTACACTTAACACTTATGAAGGATGAATTTATTAAGCAAGTCTCTTGGATCTTATATGTTGAATGGCTGTTGTTTATTTTAAAATTAGCCTTCAATATATGACACTTTCTGGGGTTTAAGCAATTTTGGTCATATCTGTGTCAACCTGAATGCACCTGCTACCTGCTTACCAGGTAAACCAAGGACCATGTCCCCACAAGTGATACCTTTTATGCTTCTTCATGAGTCATGCTCATCACATGTCCTCTAAGACCCAGTCTCAAATCCAATTCCCCCAAGGCTTTTCTGGCCTAGTCCCCACACCCACACACACTTCTGTACTTGTGGCGAAGGTCCTGCAATGGCCAAGGTGTTTCACAATCATGTTCCTGCTTCTTCTACCTAACCCTGGCCAGATACAAGGCATGCTGTGAGAGGAACTAAGACTTTTCTTTGTATGCCCCAATGCCTGGAACTAGAAGCTCAAAAGTGCTTACCAAATGGAAAGCCAGGATGCTATCATACAGCCCTATTTCACAACTCCTCATCTTTTGTTTTCACATTTAGTATGTGCAGAGACACCGGGAGGCAGAGAAGAACCAATTGTTTTTCATCAAGTCAACTAGTTTTGAAATGCTCAGGAAGAAAGGCATTTAAATTCCAACTCTTTGCCTTTGAACGTCCCAGGAATTGGTCTTTAAAACAATCCTTAATATTAAAAATATTTTAGAAAACAGAAGCTGAAAAGGCTTGCGGTATGTTAGCACTCTGGATGATAATGACAAATTGATTTTAGTAGCAGAAATTGAAATATGACATCTGGTGCAGCATTTAAACCTGGATGTGTATAAGCATCTATATCTGTGTTTGAACAAAATCAACTTGAAGCTCATTTACAATATTCCATCCGAAAAAACCTGCACACAATCTAGTCAATGTATATTTTTTGAACTGAGCATATAAAAAGGACAATTTATCATTTTCATATACAAATAAAAACACTTCCTCTTTTATTACCAAGGTCTGAAGAAACCACAACACTTTAAAAAAGAATAAATGCATAGTTTCTGATTATTAAATAACTTAGGGTATTAAGAGACTAGACGTATAAATCTAATATGCTATTTTCATTCAGTCTTAAGTTCACATCATAAACCTCCCCAACATGAAATGGAGCAAAATCATCTTTTAGAGCATGTGTCTAAAAGGTAGACAACGATGAAATATTTCAGGTTGGTTCAATTAGAAAACCTTTATCTAGCAAACACAATTATCACTGCTACTAGTCACACTGGTAATCTAAAAATAAAACAAGCTATTTCTGGTTTCACTGTGTAAATCATTACAAGTACAATTTGCATCCACAATAAAGAAGTTTAAAATTAAAAAAATAAAATGCTCTTTTTCTCAAGTAAAGAATATATGCATTTGAAACAATGCATCTGTGACTAAGAAGATTAAATAATACACATTATCAGCAAGAAATAAGCTGCCATAGAAATGCAGTCCAGAGCCTATTCACACCAGAATCTTAAACACCCGCAAGCCAGGGACACTGCGGCTTATTGATCTATAGTCGGGTCTCCAGGCCAGGTGTCGAAGAGAAACAGAAAATAACGTTGCTGCATTCAACAGCAAAAGAATGCAGACAAGGAGACGAACTCCTCCCATCCCTCCCCCTCTTCTGGGGAGAAGGATCGGAGCCACAAGCAAGTGAAGAACACAAAGCAGGTACCTGCGACCCCGCTGGTGTTGCACGGCCTGGCAGGCTGTCTGCATGAACACGACTCCCCTCAGCTCAGGCAGCTCCAGGACCTCTAGGAAGTCCTGCACGACCTTCCAGTCCGGGACCACATAGTGCGTTGCATCGCTGGACAGCAGTTTCCCATCTGAAATGCGAGCCAATGAGAGCCATCAGAAAGCGTGCAGACTGCTCCATTACTACTCCACGTCAATGTCCCGTGGGGTCGTCCGGCCCTCACCCTGTGGGATCCCACAAGACATATGGACTCCCCGAGACACATGGGCTTCTCGAGGCACATGGCCTCGCACGCCTGTTTCTCGGAGGCTGCAGTGCAGGCTAACCATGGTCTACAGTGCTGCCGTCAGGAGAGGGTGACATTTAAAACCAGAAAGCACGTTCTGGCGTGACCTGGACACCTGCGTCCCCAAGCCTGGATGTGCACATTCAAGCGGACACCCAAGGCGTGCACACACGATGTAGATGCCCCGTGAGTAGCCAGCAATGTTGGAGGCTATGAGGCCCGAAGGTGTACTGTCTAGAAGAATGCTCCCGGGCGCCAGGCTGGGGCCAAAGCTCCTGCTGTGGAAAGGCCTGCCGTGTCTGGGGGCGAGCGGGGCCTCCAGGTCCTCGGCCTCCAGCGGGCCCAGAAGCCTGGTGGGAGGCTCCAGCTCCCCAGGCTTTCTGCAGCAGGGCCCGGGGCACCCTGAAGCCACCGCGCCACCAGGGTCACGTGGGGTGTCAGCGTGGAAGGTCACACACTGTGGGGACATGGGCTTGCTACATGTCGTCCCCTATCGCTCGGGCCGTCACACGGCCCTTTCACACAAACCCCATCACACGGGTCCCATCAGACAAGCTGTCTCACAAGTCCCATCACACAAACCCTGTCACCCAGGCCCCATCACACAAATCCTGTCACATACACGCCATCGCACAGGTCCTGTCACACAGGTCCTGTGTCACCCGGCGGCTCCCGGCCTCCCTCCGGCCTTCCCTGAGGCCTCCGCGTCACCCGCACCGGCGGGCGGGAGGGAGGGCGGCCGAGCGCGGCCTCTGGCCCGGGGCCGCCGGCCTCTCGCTCGCCGCGGCCTCCGGGAACGCGAGAATGGGGAAGTGGGGGGCGGACTCGGCCCCGACGCCCGCCCGACTCCGCCAGGCCCCGCTGCCGGCCCGCCTCGCTCCCGCCAGGCCGCGTTCCGCCCCTCGTCCCGTCCCGTCCCCCCAGTCCCACCGGGGCGGCAGGCGGGCTGCGGGCACAGCGGGCTGAGGCAGGGCACGCGGGCGCGCACGTAGTGCTCCCGCACCAGGCGCAGCGAGCGGCCGCGGAACGTCCTCAGGAGCAACACCTTCTCCCGCTTCTGCAGCATGGCGGCCGGAGCCCGGGAAGGAAGGGGGCGGGAGGG